CTCATCCCCAGCCCCGGTGCTCAGGGGGTTTGCTCCCCCCATCCCCAGCCCCTGTGGCTCAGGTACAGGGCTGGGGGTGGCATTGGGTGCCCCCACCCCGCTGCGGGAGACGGACACCCCTCTGTGCAGGAGCATTCACCAGTGGGAGCACAGGGAGGTCTGCACCCCACTTTTGGCACTGTGAGGTGGGGAGACAGGACCGGGACCCCCGAGGTGGGACACAGCTGGGGGGACAGAGCCCACAGATGGAGGTAGCCCAGCTCACATGGGCACGGCAGCCCCTTCCCCGTCACCCGGGCTCCCCATGAAGGTGGGGGGAGATGCCATGCCAGGCAGGACCCCCCCATTAGCCTTGCAGCTCGGTGCCCCCTGGGCAGGAGCTGCCAGCACCTCGCTCTGCCCCGGGACCGCTGCCCAAAGTCACCTTGGACCCTGTGGTGCCCCCCTACCCCCTCCTGGGGACACCCCCGGGGAGATGCTGTGACCTTCAGCGGGTGGCAGTGACAGTGCCAGTGCCACGGGGGGGGGGATATTAACCCTTCCTGGTTATCGAGTGTCCATCAGGGCTGTCGGGATTAGTGCCCGTGGTACTGCAGCTTTGTCTTCAGCTGCCCAGCGAGGTGACAGCATGGCACGGCTGGCACCCATTTCACACCCAGCTCCCTCCCCAGGACCCACGGGGGGGGACACCGTGCCGCTGGCACTGCCAGCACTGGCACCACGCAGCAGGAGGGACACTGTGCCACCCCATCATGCCATGGGGACAGGGAGCGGGCAGTTTGTGGGGCACGAGGTGGGGTAGGACAGAGGTGGTTTTGGGGAGAGGGTCTGTGCTGGGCAGGGGGTGTGTCTCCAGCCCCACAGGGGGTGCTCAGCCCATCTGTCCCTTTGTGCCACCTTGCCCAGCCCTGGCACGGTGCCACCCGGTGCTGCCACTGCTGCCGGGGGGGCTGCTGTGGAGGGGGCTCCTGGGGACACGTTGGCTTTGGGCTCCCGTGGAAGCCGGAGATGCAGCGCCTGTGTCCCCAAGGAGGACGGGGACACGGGGCTGAGGAGCCCCATCCCCGAGGGCCGGGGAAGGGGGGGGGATGGGGGTTGCGAGGGCTTAGACGGGGTCTCCAGATGTTGAGCGTGGGCAGATGTTGCTGCAGATCCCGGGGGAGGGGAGGGGGAGATCACCCATCTGGCCCTGTCCTGTGGCCGGAGGGGCTGGGGACAAACCACCCGGCCACCGCTCTGCCACGGTGGGTGGGGGGGGTCCCTGGCCCCTCACAGGGACAGGCAGGTGATGCCGTGCCTGGTGTGGGGCAGGGGCTCAAGCTTCGTGGGGCGGGGGGGCAAAAGCCTGGTGCAAACAGAGCTTGTGGGGGGGGTCATTCCTGCATCACGGTGGGGCACGGGCCGGCCGGGGGACAAGGGGGCCCCTGTCACGGCCCAGCTGGTTAATGGCTCACCCGCATCCACCGACGCCTCATTTAACCACCCGCCTGAAAAACAACAGCTTGTACCGGGTGAGGCACCGGCACGGTGCCAGCACGGGTTGCACCCCCCCAGGGACCCCCCCCGTCCCCCGAGGGGGCATCAGCTGGCCGTGGGGCAGGGTGGCACCGGCTGGGAGATATGGGGAGAGGGGGGGATGACACAGGGGACCGTGGGGTCGGTGCTGGGGGGTCACCAGGGGACAGGGCATCCCCCCGCCAGCCCCTGGTGAGTTGAGGGAGCAGCTGTGATTGCGGGTGAGGCGGCGGAGGGTTGGCTCACCATAGAGACCTGGGCGCAGGGCATCGCCCCCGCAGGCTGGGACACACCGAGGGGGTGGGAGTCGGGGGCTAGTTGGCCCCAGGGACCAGGGGGGGGACATCAGCCTTCCCCACCCCTACCTGTGCTGCTGGGGAAACTGAGGCACGGGTGGGCTTTCCCTCCAGGTTGGGGCACCAGCGGTGCCCTTTGCACGCTGGGACCTGGCACACATGGAACAAAGCCCAGCAGGGACACGGGGGGGATGCACACACACTTGTGTGCACACTCACGCCTGCACACTCATTGCAGACCCAACCCCCTGAGTCCCCAGAGGTGGCTGCAGATCCCAGCTCTCTGCTCGCAGAGCGCAGGGGCTGGGGAACCTGTGCCAGCCCCCAGCACCTCACAGGGTTCAGGCAGCCCCCCCTTGCCCGCACCCACCTCAGCCCAGCCCCGGCCCACCTCGGGGTGTGCAGCAAACCCAGGAGAAATCGGGGCTCCAGCACCCAAAAGAGGGGGGCTGGGAGAAGGAACGATGCACCCCAGCTGGGTGACACAGACCCTTTGGGTATAACGGGGGCCCCAAGCACCTGGACCACCATCCCTATTGCTCTGGGGTGGGGACAAGCTCTGTCGTGGTCACTCGGGGCTGGCCCAGCGTCTCAGGTGACCCCATCCCTGGCCTCCATGGGAGCAGCAGGGCCTGGGGACGTCCTCCTGCCCCGCTAGCCCAGCCCGCGGCTCTGCCCACGCCGCTCTCCCTCCGCCCCGTGTCCCTTACGGCTGGGTGATGCTGCAGGTACCGGAGGGGACACGGCCACCAACGGGGGACACAGCCACCAGCGAGGACACAGCCACCGGTGGGGACACGGACAGTGACAGTGACACAGCCACCAGCGAGGACACAGGCACCAGTGGCTCTCTGGGCCCAGGGAAGGTGGCACCGCACACCCGGCAGGTGGCACGGGGGCTACCAAGGTAAGAGCCCACCTCCCACCGGGCTTGGGGAACAGGACCCCGGGCAGGGGGGGGTGCAAAGGGGGACCAGACCAGGCTCAGCCCCCCCCCCCCTACCAGCAGAGCAAACAGGATCAGGTCAGGGAAAGAGTTAACGCTCTCCCGCTGCAGCTGCAGCTCGATGCCCCAGTTCCCCCGGGGGACGTGATGAAGGGTCTGGACTTGCCCCTGCTAATTAGCCAGGTCTAATTTGCAGTTAATTGGCATCCCCCTGCGCATCTCTCCCTGCTCCCACACAGCCCGGGGCTCTGCGCAGGGTCTGGGCTTCCATCCCGCTGGGCGCAGAGGTCAAAGCCCCCCTCTGGCACCCCCCCCACCGCGGGCACTGCTGCTGGGTGCACAGCCATCCCCGGGGGGGGCCCGAAATGGGAACACCGGCGGGGGGAGACGTGCCTCTCCCCGGTCCCGGAGTCTTCGGGGGTCTGCGGTGATTGAGACTGGGCTAATTTGGGGACCCTGTGGGGCCAGGGTCGCACTGGAAGCGGAGCAGTGCACAGTAGCCACCCCCCCACCCCTCAAATCCCCGCCAGGGTCGGGACCCTCCTGCACCCCGCACCCCTCTCCCGGGATCAGGATCCCCCCCTGCACCCCGCATCACCCCCTTAGGCCCAGGACCTCGACCCCTGCACCCTCCATCGGGCTCAGGACCCCCCCTGCACCCCGCACCCCCCACCGCACCCAGCACCCCCCATCGCACCCTCCTCGGGCACTAGGACCCGGGGGGTCGCCGTCTCCCGGGGGAGATGCTAATTTTTTGTGAGCGGGCGGGGATTTTGACCAATCAGAGCGCAGCGCTCAGGTTTGGCCTCCCTATTGCGGGAAGGCGCCTCTCTGATTGGGTAAAGCCTTGTCCCCTCTAGCCAATGGGAGCGCGGGGATCGGGATGGGGCGGGAGGGCGGGGGGGCCGATTGAATTTATGAATGGCCGGGAGCGGCGCGGGACCGGGACCGGGACCCGCTGAAGCTCTGCCCGAGGAGCTGGCAAAGGACCCGGCTGGCAGCCTGAAGATGTCCCGTCCGTCCCCCCTCCCCACACCTTGGCACCCTTGGCACCGCCGGGATCCCCTCCCTTGGCACCGCTGGGACACCCCTGGCTCCTCCCTGCCACCCCTGGGTCCCGGCAGGTGGCACCCAGCCCGGGCCGGGAGCCAGGGCTTCATTCCCCTGGCAGCCACCCCAGAACATGGTGTTTTAATCCGGTTTTCTTCAAGGCGATAAACGGGGCCAGAGGGATAAAGGAGGAGCATCTCCAGGGCCACCCTCCACTGCGGTGGCGACGGGGGGTCTGTCACCCCGGTGTCCCCACCAGGGCTGGACCCTGGGTCTCTTGCCCCACAGCACCCAGCACGTCGACGGTGTGGATGAAGGAGCTCCACAATGTGCCAGACGTGGTGGCAGAGCGGGGCCAACAGCACCCATAGGAGCCCACTGCACCGTGACCCAGCTGAGCCCCCTGCCCGGGTGCCACCGGTGCCCTCAGCCTCCTAAATCTCCCTTTTCCCCCCTCGCAGCCGGTCCCTGGCAGGAGGAGATGACCCCGGTGCCCAACAGCACGGCGGTGGTGTGGGCTGGCGAGGCGGCACGGCCGGAGCCGGAGAGGTCACCCTGCATGGTTGGCATCTTCCCCATCGTGTACTACAGCGTCCTGCTGGGGCTGGGGCTGCCAGGTGAGGGGGCTGGGGCAGGGGGGGGCTGCCTGGCAGCGTGGGGAGCAGCACCCATCCTACCTCATCTGAGCTGTGCACCCTCAGCCCATCCTGTGCCCTCAGCTGCTAACAAGAGCCTCAGCTCCCTTCCCAGCCCCAGGGCTTTTGGGGATGGAGAGGAGAGTGGTGAGGGGGCTGGGGCAAGGGGGGGCTGCCTGGGGGTGTGGGGAGCAGCACCCATCCCACCTCATCTGAGCTGTGTACCCTCAGCCCAGTCCATGCCCTTGGCTGCCAACAAGAGCCTCAACTCCCTTCCCCCCCAGGGCTTTTGGGGATGGAGAGGAGAGTCCTCAGGGGTGGGGGAGACCAGCCTGCTCCCCACGGCTCCCACACCCTTTGGGTCGGCCCCACGGCTGCGGTGCCCGGCTGTAAAGCCCAGCCCCACGTGGCAGGTGCCATGGCAGCAGGGACAGATGGTATTTGCACTGCTTGGGCTGACACACGGAAGAGATTAATCAGCTCAGCAAATCCCCACCGCACCGGGATATTTATAGCTCCCCACCCCAGCCGGGCCCTGGGGCTGCTCGCCCTGTGGCCATGGGAGAGCCTGGGCACCCCCTGGGGTCCCCAGTGCTGCAGGAGGGGGGTTGCTGGGAGCTCCAGGGTCTCACCACCGCACATCGCTCCCCTCCAGTGAACGTCCTGACCGCTGTGGCCCTGTCCCGCCTGGCCACGAGGACCAAGAAGTCATCCTACTGGTACCTGCTGGCCCTCACCACCTCTGACATCCTCAGCCAGGTCTTCATCATCTTTGTGGGCTTCATCCTGCAGACGGCCATCCTGGCCCGGGCGGTGCCCAGTGCCTTCATCCACACCGTCAACGTGTTGGAGTTCACGGCCAACCATGCCTCCATCTGGGTCACCGTCCTGCTGACCATGGACCGCTACGTGGCCCTCTGCCACCCGCTGCGCTACCGCGCCGTCTCCTACCCGCAGCGCACCCGCAAGATCATCGCGGCCGTCTTCGCCGTGGCTCTGGCCACGAGCATCCCCTTCTACTGGTGGCTGGACCTGTGGCGTGATGACGACCCCCCCAACACCCTGGACATGGTGCTCAAGTGGGTGCACTGCGTCACCATCTACTTCTTGCCCTGCAGCATCTTCCTGGCCGCCAACTCCATCATCATCTGCAAGCTGAAGCGGCGCAGGCGCTCAGGGGACGGCCGACCCCACCTGAGCAAGACCACGGCCCTCCTCCTGGCTGTCACCACCGTCTTCATGGTGCTCTGGGCTCCCCGGACCATCGTCATGATCTGCCACCTCTACGTGGCCTCCGTCAAGAGAGACTGGCGCGTGCACTTGGCCTTGGACATCGCCAACATGGTGGCCATGCTCAACACCACCTTCAACTTCTTCCTCTACTGCTTTGTCAGCCAGACCTTCCGCCGCACGGTGGGCGAGGTGCTCCGGGGCCACCTCCGGCACGGCCCCCAGCCCAGCAGCGCCTGCTTCCCACCCCCAGCCCTGAAACCACTGGAGCTTCTGGCCTGCACGGCCCTCTGAGCTGGGGCTGCTGCTGCCAGCTGGAGCTCACCACTTGGCTGGGGGTCCCAGAGCTCACCCAGCCCCACACATCACTCCAGGACCCAATGAGACCTTGCCCTGGGGGTGCTTCCCCCGTGATGCCTATCCCCCATGGAGCTGGGGGGGTAAAGTGGGTGTGGGTAGGGGCAAGAGGATGTGGTTGTGCCCTGGGTGGCTGTCCTCCTTTGGGGCCATGGGGCTGTCCTGCCTGGTGGCAGCACCCACTGCACCCCGGGGACCCCTGAGCCACACTGGAATGGGCAGCTCAGCCCTGCCCGTGCTCAGCCCCTCGGGATGAGTGGCGTTTGGCCCCCCAGGAAACTCAGCTGTGGGGCAGCAAGGACGTGTCCGAGTCCAGTGGCAGGAGCCACTGCCTGCTCCGTGTGTGCCACCCCTGCTGGGCTCCTCTCCAGCCCGGTGGCCATGGGACTAGTGGAGCTTCCACAGCCAAGGAGTGTGACCGTGCTCGTGGCTGCTCTCCTGCATCCTCTCCAGCCCAGGCTGAACTGACCCACCAAAGGTCCCAGGGAACCCGGCGGTGTGGGGTGATGGGTGCAGGTGAGCTCCTGCGGGTCCTGGAGAGGACACGGTGCCCGCTGGGTGCCAGCAGAATGGTCCATCCTCCATAAACTGCCGTGCTGAGACAAAAACGCTGCCTGGGTCGGGACGGGGACACCCTGCGCCAGCTCCCCCGGGCACAGGGTCCCTCTGCCTGGCACCGAGCCCTCAGCCCTCCTGGGGATGGTGTCGGGGGGGAGCATCCATGGGGTCCAGTGTCCCCAGCCTGAGCAGATGGTAAGACCCCAGCTCTGGGCTCTGCAGCACCCAACTTCCACCCACTGTCCCCCTTGGGGACACCCGGGACATCCCAGGAGAGCCACCCTGCGAGGATGCAGCCCCTGGGTGCCCCCCAGTGAGAGGGTGCAGTGTCTCCTGCGGGTCCTGGAGAGGACACGGTGCCCGCTGGGTGCCAGCAGAATGGTCCATCCTCCATAAACTGCCGTGCTGAGACAAAAACGCTGCCTGGGTCGGGACGGGGACACCCTGCGCCAGCTCCCCCGGGCACAGGGTCCCTCTGCCTGGCACCGAGCCCGCAACCCTCCTGGGGATGGTGTCGGGGGGGAGCATCCATGGGGTCCAGTGTCCCCAGGCTGAGCAGATGGTAAGACCCCAGCTCTGGGCTCTGCAGCACCCAACTTCCACCCACTGTCCCCCTTGGGGACACCTGGGACATCCCAGGAGAGCCACCCTGCGAGGATGCAGCCCCTGGGTGCCCCCCAGTGAGAGGGTGCAGTGTCTCCCACCTGCTGCCAGGGAGGGAAGGGGGGGTCCCGTGATGCCCCCCCGCCTTGCATCGAGTGCACCCAGCACCGGTGCCACCCTCCCAGTGCCACCAGTGCCAAGCTGGTGCCATGCTGGGCCGGGCCGTGCCAGCCTGCATGTCCCCAGCTGCCACCAGAGGGCAGGGACAGGACGCCCTGCAGAGCTGGCACAGCCCGGGGACACGGAGCTGGCACCCCCCAGCACCAGCCCTGCCCCCCCGCTCTGCACCCCGATTCCCCCGTAAGGTCCTTAGTGTAACCCCAGACCCCGAGCAGGATGGCACCCAGGGGGGCTGCCCTGTGGGGCTGGGGCTCGGCTTCTCCCCCAGGGGAGATTTTGGGGTGCCCCAGGCGGGCATGGAGACCCCCCCTGCCCACCCCATTGTCTGTGCCCAGCACCAGGCTGGGAGCTCAGCCTTTGTCCTGTCGCTTGTGGGGCTGAGCCACAAAACCCTCAGGATGTGGGGCTGACCCACACTGGCACCGTCAGAGCCCCTCGGTCCCCGGTAAGGGCAGACCCCAAAGTTGGGGGGGGACACACAGACGCTGCCTTACACCGGGCAGGATGGTGCTCCCGGTGACAGGGTTAAAAACCCCGGGTGACACCTGGAAGGTGCTCGCTCCATTAATTCTGGCATGTGAGGAGAGCAGCACCGGGAAGAGATTAGATATTAACCCAGCCAGTGCCTCCCACCCGACGGGCACCCACCCCGGGGGGGGGCTTCCAGGGCCGGATCCCACCCTGGGGCCCTTTGTCAGGGCTGGAGGGGGCTGGAAGGGGTGGGGGGGCTTCTACCCACACGGGCAGGGTTTGGCAGGAATCCCGGCCACGCTTGTGGGAAGCCGGGACCACAAGCCGTCCCCCCCCTCTCCTCACCCCCCTC